CAAGTTTTCAACTTAACACAATATCTAAATTTATTGTTCTAATTTAAAGCTCGTTTTTACGTCTCCAAAATTATGGGATTATCGAAAAAATTTTATTTTTCTTTGCAAACACTTAGTAATTCCTATAGCTCTTTTAAGTACCTTATATGCCTCATACAGTTCCTTAGTATTTCTAAATATTCCTAAATTCATTCACATTGGTATTCGAGTAATGATCAAACTTATGCTAAGTTCTGAAATTTGCATGGTCTGTGGCGACTACTGTACTGAGTAATGAGAACCAAGGTGTACTAATAACATGTATACATTTATCAACATGAATCAGTTAGATATAAAAACGTAAATACGAAGATTTCCGCAAAATAAAGGGGATAATATTATAAGTGGTTTATTTAGCTTAAATAAACTGGTTACAATATTCTACTTATTTACCTCAAAGCATTATATTTGTTTAAATAAATATCTTATATATTGAAGACACAGAACACCAGCAAGTGTCCGCAAAGTAAGGCTTACACCTCTCTATTTGAAGAAGAAACAGTCCTTTTGAATCCAGAAGCTGCTAAGTCGTCTTTTGGCTGAATAAGTTCGATTAAGTTATTTCTGAATATGTATCAGAAATTGGGTACGAAAACTATCTTTTAGCAATATTTACTTCCCTCTACAGAGGCAATATGTATGGCCAGCGGCCATATGCCAGCCTTGAGGAGGCACCAGCGCCTTCAAAATCAGACTGGGTAACAGCTGTCCCAGAACCAGATGCGCAACCAGAGACCCCGAATATAGATTGGGAATCAGCGATCACAGGACCAGATGTGCGACCAGAGACCCCGAATAAAGATTGGGAAACAACGGTCCCAGAACAAGGTGCCGCACCAGAGACTCCGAATACAGATCGGGAAGCAGGGGTTCCGGAACCGGAGGTGATACCAGAGACTCCAAATTCAGATACAAAAACAGCTTTTGCGGAACCAGATGTGACACTAGAAACCCTGAATGCAGGTTGGGAATCATCGTTTTCGGAACAATCGCCGGGAACGATCGGGGATGCCACAGGAAATTACTTAACGTATGTAACAAGCTACGCCCTTTTCTGCAAAATTTTGGCCCCCTTGACTGCGGTGAAGAAATTCCTTTTCATTTCCTATTAGGTTGTAAATAACAAATAATATCTGTTTAAGAAGCCAGGTAATGTAGTATCGCATATTTCCAGTCATTACGGCAACAGCTTTTGCGTTCATCAAGCCAGAGCATCAGCTAGAATGCATTTATAAATTTATTCTAAAATTATTTTCGATCCATCGCAGATGCGAATTTGCACATCATACCAAATACTATTAATAAGAAATAATATTTGGTTTAGTTTATACCTTTTACATCGCACATTTTAGAGACTATTTTAAAGAAGACACTCCTTCCGGAAGCTGGGATTTTAACTCCTACGTCTGGGCTAACGCTGCATGAAAACTAACAGTAAAATGTGCGGTGGTGGGAATTTCATTTTGTTTGATTTCCATTAACACTGTACAAGGTGAACAATGCTGCCTTTCTATTGTGTTTCTGTGAACCTGAAAGAGCAGCATGGATTTATTTAAATAAAGAAAATGGAAAAGTAAACTAGAATAATCAAGAACATTCACTGAAGGAGACTCTGAGAGCTGAAAGCCTATGAAGGAACTCGGTGGGATGGATACAAGAGAAGCCAAATAATTTGCACTGTTTGTTATGTTTCTCAATAAATAGTATCTTGTTAAAAGAAACTATCTGTGAATAGTTCTGCAAACATTATATGCTTAATTTGAGAAGTCAATTTGGCGAATATATATTTTCAGCAAATCCTTATCATGGCCAAACATCTGCAGCGGCAATGAAAACTGTACAGTTGGACAGGGTAATAAGGGTACTCTGCTTATAATTTATCGTTTACACGCCGCCAGCATGGCGAGATCGGTGTGTAAAGGTTCTTGTGTTGAGGAATGTGGTAAGAAGGGGGGAGGGGAACGAATTGGGTTAGGTTGTGGGCGCTGATCAGAGGTCAGTTACATGAAGTTATAATTGCTGCTATTTGTATGAAGCGAGCGATTTTTACTAGGGGGTGGGAGGCGTTTTCGATCGCCACCTGGTGTCGGGGTCGGCCACGGAAGTGCAAGGGCTTGTGTGAGCGTCCTCTGCGAACAGGGCACTGGATTGGGTAGCTGTATAGTCACTGCTTCGGCTGTTGCAAGCACCCGTTGGCGTAGGCCCCTGGAAAAGTTAGCTGGTGTTAGGTAGACAAACTGAAAGGCTCCGTTAGTATTGACTCGATGATTCTTATCGACAAGATATGCTAGAATAGAACTGGAGATCGATCTAGTTTCAATCTTACATAACCAGGCTGGTATGTGCCCACGTAGTCTCTTTTTCCATGCGCCTCGTTGTTCGGCCGAGGTATGCTGCTCCACAGGAGCACGTAAAAGAGTAAATGCACATGAATGTGGCCTTCAACGGGAGTCCGTCTTTACCTCCTAATTGTATGAGGGGAGAGTTCGTGAAGAACACCCGTAAGTTCGCCGCGGGAAGGCTCATGCAATTGCGGCGCTTAGGCGTCGTTTGACCAGCTAGCTTGTTGCATCGCCCATGACAAGCTGTCTTATAAACACGTCTTTCTTTTTGCGGTTAAGGTAGCAGGCTTTTTGGCGCTTTCGCCGATATTCCTGAGGATGAACCTTTCAGGGTATCCATTTTCAATAATTGTGTGCCGTAGGGGTTGGAGTTCTGCTTCGAAATTTTCAGGAGAGCAGATCTGTCTTACTTTAGCTGTCAATCCCTGAACTATATTTCGTTTTATATTTAAGGGAACAAAACTGTGAAAGTTGGTGTATTGTCGCGTCCAGGTTTTCTTTTGGAATACCTTACGCAGAATAGATCCATCATCTTGCCTTCGCAGACGGACATCAAGGAACGAAATTTCATCGTACACCTCCGTCTCTGCAAAAAAGATGAGCGATGGATGGGCGCTGTTAAACTTCGCAACTAGGACGTAAACGTCAGTGATATAGTCTATCAAAAAGAAGATACAATGCACATTTCGACCGTAAAATGCAAGTTAATTGATGGTGTCTCTTAGACTCTTTTTCTCGATCTTGCTCTTAACGACATTTGCTATAAAGGGGCCAGATGGTGAGCCCATCACCATACCACCTATCTGTACAGTACACGCCGTTGATCATGCAATATTTCGACATATGCGAAAGACTAAT